AGGACAGCAGACGTCACAACCCCATTAGGAAAGGGTTGGTCTGGGCCACTAACTTCCCTACAAGCAGGAGCCTAACAAAGCCCGGCCCGGATAAGGGATAAGCGCTATAACCCCCTCCCTCCCTCCCCTCCCCGTCCATACGCTTCCCCTCACGTTCGTCCCCCTGACAACACTGAGCCATTCTGGTCTGCACCTGCCTTTCCGGGTCCTCTGCACAGCTGACTCCCACCCATCAGGTGATAAGTGACAAGTGACAGCTGTGAGCTCGTCTCCTCCCAGGGCAACTTCTCTGACTCTGCCCGCAGATTGGATTCCCCATCTGTTTCTCCTCACAGCACCCCAAGCCCCTCTCCATGACAGAAAGCATCGCACATCACAGTCCCTTTCCATGGAGCCTCTGTCTTCTCATTGGCTGGTGAACACTTAAGGGCAGCCTACTCTACATGGTCCTGGTTCGAGAGCCGAATGTAGTAACATATATTGGTGTTCACGGTACTGGCTGTGTGAATGGACGACAGAACCAAACATACAAGATATGCTTCAGGAAGAGAGAAAAGGGGATTCCTAAAAACTGGGCTGAATACAGTAAGTAATAGCAATATGCAGGAATGGTTGGGAGAGGGGTTCACACTGGAGCTGGACTTTGCACAGGGTAGAATTTTTACGGCAGACGTTAGGAGGAGGAGGGACAAGAAGGGTCTGAGCACAGACAACAAGGTGGAAGAAGGCCAAGGTCAAACCGCTCAGGCTTTGGGTGCTAGACTGAGGAGTGAGCACAGCAGTGACAATTTAGATAGCATCTACTAGATATCAGGCACCAGGCTAGCTGTCCTGCCTATATTAATTAGTGCAATTAATGCCATGATGCCCTGAGATAGACTTTGTCATCATCATTTAACAGGTGATAAAAAATGTGGCTCTGAATGTTTTAAAGAGATGTCCTCACATGCTCAGTGCTTATAAGTAGCAGCACCTGGCTTCAGAGTCAGGCCTGAGCCCCAAGCCAGGGTCCCGAAGGCCCTCCTAGCCCTGCCTCTTGTCGGGACGAGTCTGGCCAACAACAAGCACAGGGGTGACGATTCGTGATGCTCGTGGACTGGGTGGAAGAGGGGCTTTTCCTTTGAGAATCTGCCTCAGTCAACATAGACTTTGGATAAATGCAGGTTGGCTGTTTGTTCAAAGCAATCAGAAAGAGGTAGCGTGCAACCTGGGTCTATAAAGACTACGCACAAGTCAATATAAATGTACCAGAAGCAAGCAACTCCTTGATTGGGATAATTCTCATGCAAAACTCTGAGTTCTGTGTCCATGTGGTTCACAGCAAGTCACAGGGAAGCATCTCTCTGGCCGGATGGGGAAACAGTGAGTGGGGACACCTGAGCGGCGGCTCAAGGGGGCACCTCCCAGCAACTGGAGAAGCCCGGTGGCAGGTGGGTGAGCACAGTCAAAGCCAGCCTGTGGGAGGGCGCGCTCCCTGTTTTGCAAGCTCCAACGCTAATTTCTGCCACCCAAGGACCCGACGCAGCACACAGTCACACACCCGCACGACCCCACAACGGAACAGCTTCCCTCTGTGTAACGCCATCAGCAGATCGCCCACTGTCTTTCACCCGGGCTCCGCCCTGCCCATGAGGCTTGGATGGCAGCCATCACTTCCCCGTGGAGTGCTTACTGGGTAAAGTAATTACATTTCACCATAAGCAGGATCCTGGGGGATTCCGAGCAGAAAAATCCTTAGCCCTCGAGCGTCAGGGATCATGCCTGTCAGCAGCTTCCCTGGCAGGTGCAGAATCCTGGCCGATGTCACACCCAGCCGGTCCGCAGCTGCCTGTGTCAGGACCCAGGGGACTGGGGACCATGGACCTCACTGTCTTATTACTGATGGGGCCTTCAGGAGAGAGCCTAGAACTTACTCCATCACCCTGAGAGGTCTAACTGCCTTCACCCAAATGTTGTCTTGTTTACAGGTTGTTTAAGAATGTAGGTGCTATGGATTCCACCCTCAAGCATGTTTGATCATAAGAGTATGTCCAAATCCACATCAGAATAATGCCCCTAAGTGTTCACACTCCTTGACATCATGAAATGCTAACGTTAAGAGCTAGGAGACATTTGTGAGAGTCCTTGTTCTGCCAGATGGACCAGAGGTCGGTCACCAACTATGGATGATTTGCATGTTTACCAGTAAGAAAATTTTTGAGCATGCACCCCTCAAAATGTATACTTATTTTAAAATTGTGTGTGTATACAATTCTACTCGTGTACAATATGCATTATAAACATAGGGAAAGGTCTTTTAAAAGATAGGAAATACAACAATCCATGTTTTGAAAATTAATTATTTTATGTTTAATGGACCCATAACCTTTTTGTCCATATATATATATGTGATTCAAAGTTCTGGCTTTAACTTACCCTAATCACTATTAGATTTTAGTGGTGAGCATGACTAAATGAGATGCCTCCCCAAGCCACACAGGTCTAGAAAGATCAGCATGGCAGACTTGCTGAATAAGCCATGATTTCCGTACTTTTCTTTCAACCTCTTTTAATGACAGGGGTCTCCTCGTGTTTTGGACTCATCGCTTTGCAATGTCTTGATTTCATACCAGCCTGAGTCCCAGTAAAACCTGAAGGCCCTACACTGATACAGGTAGGATGAGGTGCGTTATGAATAATTATGATTACAAATCCATCTATCAATTTTTTAAGAAGTCCAAATGGCTCAGTCTACTTATTTTTTCATCTGATGGACTTGTCATGCCATCTGCATGCATGTCATCAACAGGCTTGGGCAAGGGGAGCGTAGGTGGGGCTCTGTCCTTCCCTGGTGTTTGCGATACTTTCATTATTTACCTTCACTTCATGATGATTTTCTTACAGTGTTTGTTTCTAAGCCACTTGCTACTCTATGAGGGTTGATGCAGTTAAAACGAGAAGACAACAGACAGATGAGCATCACTGGCTGGCCACAAACTGCAATATACAGCGACCAGAGGGGGCACTGTTCACTTACTTGACCTGTGGGACACCCACTTTTATTCTGACGCCCGAGTGACTGAGTGGAACTCATGACCTTGAGCCACGTGGACTCAACAGGGCTGCCAGGGGCAGCCAGAAGTCCGATTGTTAAAGAAGCTTGATTTCCCGCCGATTTCTGGTTAAAACTATTGTAAATGGAAGCTCTAGTGTTCTCTCCCCACATCCCGACGGACATACTGTGCACCCCTGGGCAGGTGCGGCCCACTTCAGAGTATCCAACCTTGCATAACAGGAAACAATGTGGGCTCTTGAGCAAGAAAGCACAGGCCCAAATCCCACATCTGCTGTGTTCGAGCTGTGTACTGCTTACTGCCCTGGTCCCAAGTCACCTCTCTGGCATGACACAGGTAATACCACTTATTCCTCTGGTTGGTGACAAGGGGTCAGGAGATATGAACAGAAAACTACCGAACACCATGACAGACCCATGACATGATCAAAATGCTTCCTTTTCTTATAAATGTGGAACTTGAAGAGCAGAGTGGAGGGAGATGACCAAGCGGCTCCCACAAGCAGAAGCCAAGCCAGGTCACAGGAGGCTTGGCCCCAAGTCCTGGCCCTTCTCACCACATCAAATGAGTTCTGACCCAGTGAGGGGGCCGGAGCGAGGGCGATGGGCGTCCACAGACGCAAAGCTCTGCCGCATGCGAGTCCAGCTCCAGAACCCTACCCAGAACCCCTCATGCTGCCCCTTTCCCTCCAACACAGAGCTGGTCCCAGACCATTTCCTGGTAATGCATGTCACCTACCAAAAGGACTCAGCACCATGAAGTTCATCTTTTGTAACCAAGAACCATGACACGTAAGAGGCACTTGAAGCACTCACTTCAGAATGGTCCCTTTGGAACCTGAAGTGGCAATAAACATGCACAGTCTTCCTCCTCCATCAAGAAATGGTGTCTTCTTCCCAGCCTGGAATCCAGCCTGGCCTTGTCCTGGCTTTGGACCACAGAACACCATGGAAACAACGTGACACAGGTCCTGAGGTCAGACTACAAGAGGCTGTGTGCGCTCCCACCTTGCTCTCGGGCCGAGGTGCAAACAAACGAGCCGGGCCAGCCGGCTGGAGGATGAGAGCCAGCAGAGGGCAGAACCCAGCCTCCCAGCCACGCACCCCCCGCCCCAAGGGGGTCCAGTAGGGATCAGCTAAGCCCAGTCCGGCTCCGTGGAACCTCCAGGCTGAGCCCAGCTCACATCGCTGATGCTCGGACTCACAAGCCAAATCCAAAGTTGTTTTGAGCCTCTAAGGTTTAGAGTCATTTGCTATGCAGCAAAAACAAATCAACAGGTACCTATAGTTCTGCTCTGTTACTACGCGCACATCACACAGTGTCTGTGAACTTGGGTTCCCTGGTCTGTAGCTTGGGGAAGGAGAGCGGTCCCGTGAGGACACAGAGTCCTGGGCTGTGCTTAGGTGCCATCTATAACCATTCAGCATCACTGTCAATTATCTGCAGTGACCCTGAGAGGTAAGTCTGTCATTGGGAAACTACTGGGATCCTGCGTGGAACAGGCCAAATTCAGAGGTCGCCCTCAGAAACTGGAAGCCACTGGATTTCATTATGTAGTTAAAGAGGACATCGTAAATGCTCAGTTTCTGAGAGAGCTGGGCACAGGTTATCAGGACTAAACAAGCTTCATTTCCGATGAATTCACTCTCCTTTAACACGGACTGACAGCTTGAGCGGAAAGACCAACTACGGAGAGAACAGGCAGAAGAAAGCGCAGGAGGAGGAGAGAAATTAGCACATTTTCTAGTCTCTCAATATACAGTTTATTTTTAAATGCACTAGAGGTTTGGATTTTCCACTAGGCAGGAAAGACAATGGAGGAGGGAAACTTTTTCATTAATCCAAAAGTTGCTGTAACCTGTCCTCTCTTCTCCACCCCCTCCGCCCCCGCCAGGAGAAAAAACATGCACAAATATCCACAGAACACAAACAAAGGAGCAGACTCACCCTCTCTGAAAGAGATCCACGTTATAAAACTTATGGAGCTCTACAGAAAACTCAACCGTTCCTTGTACTTCAGACATGATCCTGTTGGTTCATTACCTGAAAAACAAGAGAGAAACGAACAGCTTGAGATCACACCCACCCAACACAGACAGCCTGAGCTCCTAGAACAGGAAGATACAGCGCAGCCGTAGGTGGACAGGAGTTTCTGATGAACAGGGCCATGACGTGTCTGCCCCCGGGGGTCACCGCCCATCATTCCTTTCCTAGGGAAAGGCGCAGGGAGAGGAAGTGACTGGCTCGGCGTCACACAGCTCACGCCTGGGGGGACCCAGGTATCCTGGTTCCAAGGCAGGGCTCAGTGGCAGCCCTTCCCCCTCCGTCTCCCGGCGGTGGCCTTCCAGCTACAAGGACCTGCTTCATGGCCAAGAGCCCTCAGAGCCCTTCCACTGTCCACCTGGGCAGCCCTCCGCAAGCCACTCACGTCTCCCCTTCCCGGCCTCCTCATCTGCCACGTGAAGACGGGAACTAGCACACGGCTCTAGCCGATGATGTGACCATGAAGTGAACTGGCCACATTGAGCACTTGGCACAGTTCCTGACATGGAACAAATACTCAATGAATGGGGTATGCCATTCATAAGAACTCATAACTGAAAGTACTTACTATCATGGTTAAAGTGATAGAAAGCCCATATCCTTTCTGCCCCCAAGTCAACTCAGGGACCAGACCACCACCAGGGCTGTGGTTCAGAGCCCAGCCTCCCCGAGCTCATGGGGCCTTCCCTGCTCCCCAGCCGCGGCAAGGGTGCCACCCGGGGAAACATTTCTGAAGATGCAGAGTGCCACGTGCCCTGACCTCTGTAAATTCTGCAAGAGGGAACTTCAGGCTGATGAGTCTGGGAAGACCTGACTCACAAAGTGTGCTGCAAGCCCACCTCCCTAACGGCTCAGCTGCAGAGGCCTGCCCTGGACCCCCCTAACTCCCAGGAGCCAGCCAGAGTCTGACCGTCTTTCAACCTCAAGTTCAAGCCATTGCCAGGAAAAGGCAGAGGGAGCGGCCAGCCAATAAAGCCTCCTCCAGGCACAAGGCTTTATCCCCCACCCTGTGCCTTGGCTGAGCCTGAATCAGCCCCCCTTAGTTCTTACAGCAGGTGGTCTCTTGCGGGTTCCAGCTCCCTACACGCACGGGGCAGAATGGAGGGGCAGTAGGGAGGCTGCGAACTCAAGGCGAGCACAGATATGAACGACGTCAGCCATTTCCTGGCAAACTGGCACTCGCTCATCCGCGGTGGCAGTAATTATTGTTGCTTCTGCTTCACCACTGTTGGCAGAGACTCAAAAGGCCCCTTGTGGGTTCCAGACACACAGCATTGGGCTTCCCTCCTTTATTCCTGAGGTCCGAGAGTCCTGGCGGGCTGGACTCCACGTCCACTGCCGTGGGCTGGCTATTTGTGCTTTTCATTGCAACATTTCTAAAATGTTGACGTGGTTATTTACATTTTCTAAAATGTTTTGGAACATCTTCAGTTGCCTCTGAGGGAATTTGTTAAAAATATGAAGAACGATTGAGTATTTTGGAGAAATACCATGATCCCAAATCCTCTGTTCGCTACTGCCTGGCGCCCAATCCTTTTACAAACATGTTTTCCTTTAAAATGTAATTTTTCTCTTCAAACATCAATCTTCCAAGTGTGTGGCCTTTGAAAAATGAAATGAAAAAAAGAGCACGTTGATCTTCCTACGCATCAGCCTTCGCTTCCTGAAAAGGGCACGCGGAGTTAATGTGCTCAAAAGATTATAAATCGCAGCGTTAGGACAAGGTGAGTGGGACGGTGCAGGAGAGGACCTGCTCGAGCTACGGAGCAGGGAGCGGGAGGTGGCGAGGGTCGCGCGGCACCCAGACCCCCCGCCAGCCGCCCAAAGCAGCGAACCAGCGCACAGCCTTCCCGCATCCTAGGGCAGCAGGGAAACCCTTTCAGGATGACCTGCAGGGAGCTGCCTTCTCCCCACCCCCAACCCCTCCAGGCGAGTCTTCTGAGGAGGGTCAGCCCAGTTTTCTGCCCAATCACCATGGGGAGAACCTGCTCTGTGGTTGAGGAAAATGATCTGCGTAGTGATGAAGGCCAGCCTTCCTTCATCAGAGGGGGAGGGGCGCCTAAGAGCTGCCTTCTGTCTGCTGAGGGAGCACCTCACAGGCCTTGGGCGCCCACCCGGGCTCACCTCCGCACAGGGCCTTGCACAGGCCACGTGACATCTGGGAGTCTCAGTGTTTCCACCCAGAACAGGGGCCTACGCTGTCTTTTCAGGGCGTTTTTGCTGAACTCACTGTCTCCACTCCCCGGGAGCAGCCCCCGGGGCTGCTCAAAGCCCCAGGGGTGCCCAGGCCACTGAGCCACGTCCTGGAGCTGCCACAACACACAGGTCAGAAAGGAGAGTTGGACCACCGCTGTGGTCCTCGGAGACAAATGCCATGACAGAAGACTGCACAGAGCAGGCAACGATGCTCCGTGGTGATGACTGCGGCCCATGGGACCGCCTGTCTGCATCCGCCCAGCCCAAGGGACACAGCTCAGCCCCTCGGCACCCGAACAAACTCAGGCAAGACCTTAACCGCTTATACCTCAGTTTTCCCGACTAGAAATTGCTTTGGAGTCAGGCGCATGGTAAGAAGTTTAGCAAGCACAAGCTGTGACGCTGGAACACCTAAAACCGATGTTGGGGACACGGCAGGGGAGAGGCGGTGGCTAACCGACAGGCTGCGCGCCTCGCTGGGGTGTCCGCCCAGCAGGGGCCAGGGCAACCGCAGAACTCAGGTCTCTGCCTACCCTCTGTCCAGCAAAGGCAGTCCCAGTGGCCTGGCCCCCCAACGTTGCAAGGCACTTTCCTTCCTTCCATGTGGAAGCCCACAGGGGCGCATTTCTGTGTTTGTTTATTCCACATGGGAAGACATGCTGGGGTCCTGCTTTCCTGGGGGTCTGTGTCCGTCTTAGGCAGCACCCTAAGATGCAGGCGCGACAGCAGCTGAGGCCCCACAGCCTGGTCAAAGCTAACGGGTGTAAACTCGGGGCAGAGGCCTCGAAGCCCCAACAACCAGGCGCCCCAGAGCCCCGCGGCACCCAACGCAGAGCTGCGCCTTCCCGCCAGGGCGGCAGGCGGCTGGCGCTTGGCCTGAGCTCCACTGTGGCCACAACGGGGGACATTTCATCTGTTCTGCCAGCCCCCTGCCGAAACGCACGCACACAAATGAACACGCAAGCATGCACAGCCATGGGCTCACGCACAGCAGATGCGTGTTGGGACCTGACCTCCTGGAGAGGCGCACAGAACCATGGAAGGGGCAGCAGCCGCACATCGGCCGTGCCCTGGTGGTTTGAGCACGCGCTGGGCTGTGTTAGACTCGTTCTAGCCCTTCTTGCGTTGTCGTAGCTACTTGGCAGTGGGTTTTGTGTTTTGTGTTTTTCTGCAGGTTGACAGTAATGTATCTTTTTCAGCAACGTTATAAGCACTCAATAAGGTAAATAATGCTAATATTAGAATAACTCATAATAACAATAAATTGTATAGGAGGAGTTACAAGTAGCAAACGTGGGCTTAAAAGTCTTCAAAAAAAGTCTACCCTGGAGGACGGGGTGAGCAGGGCAAGCAAGGGCCAAGGTGCTGGGGCCAGGTGCCGGGGCCAGGTGCCGGAGCCAGGTGTCGGGGCCAGGTGTCGGGGCCAGGTGCCGGAGCCAGGTGTCGGGGCCAGGTGTCGTGGCCAGGTGCCGTGGCCAGGTGCCGGGGCCAGGTGTCGGGGCCAGGTGTCGGGGCCAGGTGCCGGGGCCAGGTGCCGGGGCCAGGTGTCAGCCCCCAGGGCCTGGGGAAGCACATTCAGCAAAGGGGCCCGATCCACAGTTAGGTCCCAGTTCTCTGGTCCCGGGAGACGCAGAAGCCACGTCTCTCCTCCTGGGGAAACCTGGTTTGGAGTTGTTACCCTCCCCCCATTCACTGACATGGGGAGGGTTCAGTGCCGTGACAGAAATAAGACCAGTGAGAAATAACTGTGCCCAGGTAAGCACCTGCAGAAGCCAGAGGGAGCAAGCTCGAGCCCACGACCCGACGCACCCCGACAGCCCCCAGCCCATGAATTCCCCACCCTCTTGTTTTGGAGTTCTGCCTCCGTTACAATGATTCCGGAGCATTCCGTTTGCAGAGCGGCAGTCCGCCCCACCGAGTCCAGGCACCTGACGCGGCAGCAGTGGAGCCTGGCGGTTTCTCTCTTTAACCGCCTGAGAGCATAAGCTTATGTAGGCATGGACCTCACATGTCGAAGTGCAGCGATTCAGGGGGCCCCTCAGTCACCTCCCCCTGCGCCCAGCACGTGGGTGAGAAATGGGAGGCACTGAGAGGGACGTAGCCTGTCACTGTCCCAGAGTGAGAGGCCCCAGAACCCCGCCTGCTCATTTCTAGTCCAGAGACCTTGGCATTGCGGAGGGTCCCATGTGCGCATCCGTGGTCTCCCCTCATCATCACAGGTGCCCAACCCCCCACCAGGCGAGAAGGACAGGGAGCGGCACCCCTGATACCTGCACAGACTCGGGGATGAAAGGCGCGACCCGGGTTCATGAGGACCTCTGGGCTCGGCACCTCACCAGAGACCCAGGGCTCGCGCAGCTCAGCCTCCTCCTTCTGGGGCTGAGGAAACGGGACATCCGTGTGGCTTCGGCTTGCCTCAGAGTCACAGGGCCATCTGGCCGAAGCGTCCCTATTGGACCTTGGTTCTCCGGGGCCTTGGACTTTGCACAAACACACCCATCTCTGCAGCAGGGAGCCGCGCAACTCAGACGCCAGCCGGCCCGTCCTCTCTCACTGCGTCTGCCCCCCAGGGCCCCCGAGAGGGCCACCTCACAGCGCTCCTGTCCTCTGCGCACATCCACCGGATGCCCACCTGTCGCCTCCTACCTGATGGGCTCCGGGCTCCCGGGTCCTAGGCCACTTCCCCAGGCCGCTCTTCCTGGAAGGTCCTACCAGGCCCCTCTCTGCGCAAGCCCCATGCCCTGTGCGCGTCCCAGTGCAGCCCTGACCACCTTCTGTCCTGGGA